TCGAGACGGCACAGTGTCATGTAATCGCGTCAGGACCCATCCTGAATTGCGAATTGGCAAATTGCCAGAGACGCAATGTGTTGTCTGCTATTGCAGACAACACATTGCGTCTCTGGCAACTTGCCAATTTGCCGTCTCTGGCAACTTGCCAATTTGCCCGAACACTCTCTAACCGACGTTCTTTCAATGTGAAACTCGTCCAACCCCCTTTCCAGCTCTTTTTTTGGCCCTTTGTAATTCTTTTTGTTCATCGTGTTTTGCGCTTTTTTCGTTGTTATCGCTTTATTCTAGAGTAGTTCTATCGATTTCCCGTCAAAAAGGGTACCCTAACTTTTTTGTGAATGGTGCCTTTAAAAGCTGATTCTTGACTTAGAGGAACTGACAGTGGAACGAGAAGTTGGTTCACTACATTACCGCGCTTTGCAAATGAGATTCACGTCCACGGCGATTTCCTTATAGCAGTGCCAACTATCACTGACATTTTCTTCAAAACGTTCATTCTGTGCTCATAAATACCCTCAGCGATGACTAGATTATGGTGTTCATCTGATGCGCATGTGAAACTAGTGTCTCGAAACTCAAGCCTACGTTGAGTTGTACTTTTTCTTCAGGTACGTGAGCCATCCCAATATCAATTGGAGCACATCGGTCAGCACAAAGGTCAAAAAATACGGAAGCGCACCGTACATCGCTGTTAGACCGCGATTCTTTTTGCGACAATCTATTCAATATTCTGCTGCTTTGGTTTCTTTTTGTCCTATTCGATATGGACGGTCATTCTATGTCTGCTACGTCACACTCGGAAGTCAGAAGTCCGCGAATCATTCCAGAACAGTACGAACATAAGACCTACTTCAACCTATCTTGAACAAATGTGAAGCACCTATTACAAACACCGTCTTCAGAGAGGATCAACACCCTCTCTGAAGACGATGTCTGTGATGAGGATACGTGTGAAAATAGTGATTTTATATAGGCGAGGGATGTCAGCTAGCTAGCTTTGTTGGAGCAATCATATCGATTGTAGCATTGCGTTTACCGCACTTTAATACAAACGGGAAAAACAGGGTCTGAAGTAATTCGAAGTTTAATCAATTTGTTGGACCTTTCCCACATTGACAGACCATGGTCCGTCATCCTCTCCGCTTTTCTGTATCAGAAAATAGTTGAACGAACTTCATAGTAGTTGATGACTTTGGGGCCACCAATAATAAGCACCGCATGCATTTCAGTTCTATGTGGATCCTGACCGTGCGTTGATTTGTTCAGCTTTATAGCTCCATAATCGTATTTTCTTAACGAAGTAAATTTAGAAAAATTCAGAATTTTTCAAGGGACCCGTCAGCAGTAATGTAAGAACATACTTGTTTAGCTCTTCTTTGGTACAATAGAAATCGACTTCATATCCGACTTCAGCTTCGAGGATCACTTCACCAATTCTTGACAGCCTTCCTTTGTAGAAATGTTTGTCCGGAAAGTCCTTAATTTATAGGTTTCAGTGAAAAACATAAGCTTGTTTCGGCACTTTCGAAACTTCTTAGTGTGAATAAATGAAGTTGGTGCGCCAGAAGCAAGTCAGGTTGATCGTCGAAAAAAGCCCTCGGTACGAGTGTGGGTACATCCACCCAAGTCTGGATGAAAGCCACAAACTGCGCGGCGAAATTCGTGGTGACTTGAACGACTCTGGGGCCTATCATTTGAGCGCAGGTTATAAGTAGATTGGATGAATAGGGCCAATTGATGCTACTTATCTGCTCCACTTCAAATTCATGCCCCAGTGACAAGCGCCAGAGTAGTTTTTCATCACGAATTTCGCCGCGCGGTTTGTCGCTTTCATCCAGAATTGGGTGAATGTTCCGAACCCTTGGTTCGTACATAACTGATTCGTGTAACCAGGAATTAACATGGTGATGCGAGTTATTCCGTGTTATGCAAGAGACATACGAATTCTTAACTAACCAAGTAGGGGTAGTCTACTTACCATGGAACTTTGAATGGAGACCCATATTAATTGATAGAGTTTTGAACGCTGCTTACGAATATGGTAATTGAAACTGCAGAATGCTTTTCCCAAAAGAAATAGTGGAGGCTCGAAATTTGCTACCAGTAGGGCAGTTGGAAGTGGGAACTCGTCGCTGCGATATCGAACGTCGACGTGGTGTAGTGGTAGTGGTCTCGCTTCACAGGTGAAAGATGCGGTTTGCTCCCCGACACCATCGACGTTTTTGCATTGTGTTCTTTCGCTTCCTTGGAGGCTTTTAAACCCCTCCTGACACTTGTTCAAGTAAAAGCCTTAATTTTGCTTTCATTTGCGCTTGTCGCACTTGTTCAAGGAACAATGGTTTGGCACGTTGATTGTATGACTCTGTTTCACTTTGAATTCAAGAAAAATTCAAAATAATATTGCGAGCGGTGTATGTATAAGATACCTGTGAGGAACTCAACGCTGATGGAAAAACCTGAAAAAGTGTGAAGCAACACGTTGTTCACAAACTGCACACCCTATATATGATGCTTCTCTACAACCGGAGACAAAACAAGATTGAACGACTCTCAATATTGAACGACTTCTACACGAGTGGCACAGAAGCCTGTATTTCCACCTACATGCCCTGCTTGTACGTTTTGAAAAATTGAAAAAAAAGAACTCCAAAGTTTCAAATCCAGTGGTCAGGGGGGGGGGGGGGGGGGGGAGGGGCACAACACACATTATGAACAAGGAGCTCATGGTCGATTGGATTCGACTTGCTTTTTCGAGAGTACGGATGCTCACCAGGAAATGCATCTTGCTGCAGACTCATGGTTGCCCTTCCTCGATACCGACACCACCAAGCAAGCTGTGCCCGAAATGTGTAACGCGATTCATTACTGCATATGTAAAGCGGTGCGATTCACTTGTTGATGAGCCCACTGTATACTTCAGATGCTACGTCAGTGATAATCATTGGGAGTCTCCTTCTTTGCTCCTATGAAAAACGTTATGAAGAGGACCAGGTCAAAACTATGATGAATACCGCGGACTTTGATATGACACAGAGGATAATATACTTCCATTTTTATATCATCTATATCGAATGTTCTGTGCACCTCGCATTTCAAAACTTCTAGAATGCACTTGGCACAGCAGGGTATGTTGATGAAAATCCAGGCTACTGTGTCACTTCTGGCGAGTATTTGTCTCATCTTGAGACATATATGTGCCTGTTTTATTTCAGTTCTTAAGAAGCAACATGTATAATGGGAGTAGTTTTTGAACATCATTTGAGTGCACGCATTTCATCAGATCTTTCCATCAATGTTGAGTTCCTGCAGACATCATATACATCTCTGGCTCCTTACCATAGAATGTTTCTTGACCAGCAAAGTTAAAATAAAACATAGTAACCCAATTACATGGCAAACCGTTTCCCCCTAAACGGGGACGACAAGCGCAAATGAAAGCAGAAGTGTGGCGTTCACTTGAACAAATGTCAGGAAAGGTTTTGAGGGCCAAAAAAACAATGCAAAAATGTCGCGTTGGGGAGTAAACCTGCATCATGCACTTGTTAGACTACTACCACTACACCTCGTTGACGTTTGACATTGCAGCGACGAGTTCGCATTTCCAATTGACACTACTGTTGAGCGAATTTTGAGCCCTCATAACACTTTTAGGAAAACCATTTTGCAGGTTCAATTTCCACATTCGAAAACAGCTTTCAAAACTCTCTCGATTCATATGGGTCCCCATTCGAAGTTCCATGGTAAGTAGACTTCCCCTCAGTGGTAAGTCCTGGGAGGGAGGGAGCACTGGGTTAAGGAGTTTTCGGCTTTTCACACGAGGTAATCATATCAACCACCCCGGTGCTCCTACACTCTTACGCTTAGTTTGGAAAATACATCCGTTTTGCTGAAACCGTATAAGGGCGCACAAGTGGCTGGTGCCTATCCTCGTCTTCGTCTACTATACAGTGCTAGTATATACCACTTAACACGTGTAATTTTTTGTTGTGCTCACACTGATATGAAGGGGAACGTCAGTTCTTATCGTTCGTCGAAACCATGTTCCTTCGTCGTAGCCCTCTGCGACCAGATGACGTCCGTACCGCATTGCGGGCTGACGCGCGGCCTGCGACGGCTGCGGAATGAGTTCCGACGGGCGATAGTAACGAGGTGCATCCATAGGAGCAGTTTCATGCTTGAGAAGTTTGGGACTGATATACTCTTCAAAGATAGGCATGTCTTCTAAATCTGAAGAAGGCTTAAGATCGTCTACAACTACAAGGATTTTGGAGGGTTTCCTCCGAACATTAATTTGGGGGAAATCTTGTGTGCCTGGTCATCCACATTTGCGAAAGGGCTCATACAAAGGCATAGCTATACGCACACATCACGCTTGAACAAAATTAGTATACGTCACAGTTAGGGTTTACCAATGGTCAATCGTGAGAACTTTTTTCACTGGCACTGGGTCCCATCACGAACCACTGAGGTGGGTTCCCTCCGCTGACGACATTGCTCTGATAGCGAACACTTGAGTAGAACTCAAGGACAAGTGCCAAAAATTCGACATTGGTGGTTGGGAATGGGCTCCGGCTGAATGTTGGAAAATATTATGTTGATTAGCATGCAAAAGTGTACGACACCATTCGTAGGTGGTATGGGGAATCCATCGAAAGGTCGCAAGACCTCCATACTTGCAAGTGATTTCTGCGGATAAAAATTTTGTCTCCTGTGTGGATCATTCCTGTTTTAGGACGTGATCCGCATTTGACTACTGTTAATAATCGTAGCTCCTTATTGAATGCGTATGTGATTCATGCAATGAATTGGATGCTTAGCCAACGTGCAAGCCAGTGCTTCAATACTCCCAGACGACTATGGTACCTATTAGCCGACCTCCGAGGGTTGGAAGACCTGCTGGCTTGATATATATGGAATTTTGTCCTCGAGAGAAACGTGGCTTGTGATGCGCCACTTGTCACCTTCGCGACATGATATCACCTTCGCGCAGTAGATGCAAGGTGATATCATGACATGGAAAATGAAACAAGCGAAATTTTCGTTTCTTCTGTAACGCTCTCTCATCGGGTCCTCTGATATGTTTGTCTCTAATGGGTCCATTACCATTTCCACCTGCATCCAGGTACGTCAGGCAACATGCAGCTAACCTCAGCTATTTGGAGATGCTTAAAAAACACTCACATTTCTCATGTAGACATTTATTTTCAAGTTGTTGTCACGCACAGCTTCGGTTAAATTGTTATACACTTCATAAGCGAGGGCCGCATCAGCAGTGTAAATTAAGTTTAAGCCAAATTTTATACGAGTGGAGTCGACGTAGTCCTTCACGCATAATATATTATTGATGCCTTTGATCTGCAACAAGATGTTCCGTCTCAGGAAGAGCCTTCATGTTGAAATTTAGGACAAGGTCTTCAAATGAGTTCATGCACCAAGATTTGGTAACTGAAATTGATTGTAATGTTCAACAACGAAAAAAAGGAAACAGTGTGAGGGGAATAATGAGGAAAATTCTTCCCGGTACTAATCGATTGGTTTAGAGCTACGCCCAGTATTCGACTCCCATTAATAGATGCACAGGTGTTTGATTAAGCATATGGCCCATACGCTGTACTCCAGGGACCGAGGACGATTTACAACCTACTGCCAGTACCCTCTTAGAAAATTCTGGTAACTAGAAGGGATTGAATGCTCGATTGGTGATGGATGGTGGGGAAAGTATAAGTTGGGATTTGACCATATGACTTGTGTGGTAGCGCGATACTTTGGATTACTAAGCCATTCATTGCCTTATCTGACTAGAACACTTGAGTGAAAGAGCGCAGAGATTGTACCAACCGTATGCCATGGCTAGATGTGGCCGTTTTCTGAAGACCTCGAAAAGGCTAATCCGCTCACAGCGCATACTATGTACTTTCACATTCGAACAACTAGTCACAACCAACGGCGAAAGTGTAGCTCAGCTTTTGGCATACTGTAGCCAGCTCTACATAATAACTCATAACTGATTGCTTGTTCTCCCTTGAATGCCACTTCTTCATTATGATCTCGAACAAAAGCATTTTCAACTACTTTTTGGAGCATTTATCTTGAAGGTTTGCGGAATCTCGTGTTTTTCCGCTGCCTTTGCGCTTCCCACCACCATGACTTTCCTTATTCCACTTTAATCAGGTCTCCAAATTATCGTGAACTGTGCTGTACAAACAGGTTATTAATCGGTATGCACCATGAACTTTGATAAGAGCGCAGCACGACTGCGACTTTGATAGACCTCTGCTCGTATTTTCAAGGCAGACAGTGTGGAAATGAAGTGAGGAAGAATGTAAAATCTAAATGAAAATTTAATAACAAGAAAAGTTTCTGTTGATGCATGAACTCAGTTGGTGGTCAAATGAGGGAATCATGAATTTTAAGATCAAGGGNGGGCCATTAAAATGTAATGTAGTTGAGAGCGAACCTGTGCGTGCCCGTGGTCTGCTGTTAGTATGACATTGATTTCATTGATAAGATTATGCTTGTTCAGCTGGTCAATGAGCCGCTCGAAAACTTCGTCGAGTTTGGCCAGAGTTTTTAAGTATACACCATCAGTAAAACCGTGCTTATGCAAAGTAGTGTCAGGTTCATCAATGTACCTTAATGAGGATCCTATGTTTACGGTACTTCCTCTCATGATACACTATAAATTTCTTTGCGAACTCAGTTGAAAACCAAAGACAGGATATTTGACCTACAAGAATAAGGAGTGACAATATAAATCAGCCTTACAATATGTTGGGTTTCTACACACCGTATTCGCTTGGTCTCGCACAACGGATCGAATGGGTGATGAGCGAATACTTTTGATCGTCTTACAATTAGACCAGGAATTCAAAATTATCGAATACAAGCCTTTCACACCGATCAGGAAACTTCGCCAAGTTTCCTAACACCTTTATTACTCTCAGGTGGTCGTGAGAGGCAATAGAACGCAGTTCAAGTCGAAAGAGTTCGGCGACTCTTGTCGTCGGAATGGCGCAGAGCATTTATTCTCCTCCATTCCATCCTCAGTTAAGTCATCGGGCCGTAGGATTTGTGGATGCCTCCAAGTAAATCATGTACAGGCTTGATGAGGAATAAATAATGGAGACTGCCTTACCTGAATAAGCTAAGAGCCCCATCGCTTCGAAGAAATCCAAAGATACAGGCTCAACTCAATCCATATGATGGAGGTAGTTGAGAGACATCCGAGCCATTGGCATCATTTACACTCGCAACTGCCGTGTTGATTCCTCAGGTTGGGCCAACGGAGGGCTAAGACTGCCCCAAAGGCACTATCCTTATGATATCGACGTTGATAATAAGTCTGGAAGTGACAGACAAACTATGTATGCCCTGGGGCAGATCCACCTTTTGCAACATGCATGGATCGGGTCCGGTTCTACCATGTCGTAAAGCTAGAACGCCTGCAAGCTATCAGGACGCGGAAACGAACGAAGTTCCTTGGCTAACGCAATCCGTCTGTCAATTGCAGCTCCTCGGCATTGAAGATGTTCTACTGATCGAGTGCTAGTCAATCCAAAGAAGAATATCGAAGTGTTGAATTCTCGGTTCCGACCATGCATTTCATAGTTTCCAACTTCTCTCTTGTTTCAACCTCGGCACTGTCGTTTATAATACTGAGGTTCTTCTGCCGGGAAGAACACTTAGGTGAAACACTGTTATATCAACGGCCTGTCGTTTCGAGTAGTCATCATCTTCAGAGACCGAAACGCAATTCGAGTTGGTTGACAATATCCGGCACCGTTTGATCACTCTAGCAAATTATAGAATCCGCTTCTCCACAAACAACTCAGTACAGAATGAGAAACTGCCATGATGTCGCCCATATACTTATGATAAGAGAGATCTCATTACGGTGCTACTGACCCTATTCATAGCTCGCAGAGCGCTAAGTATGGGAAGAGGTCACTGGCTATGGACGGACACACATCTCTTTTGTTCATCTTGAGGTTCCTCTGCGGAATCCAGAACGCCTTTAATGCCTTTAACTTCCGTCTCCTGCGCTAATATCGTCCACTCCACTTCAGAATCGTCGCCGTTGTTTCCTTCAACATTATGTCTACCGAGCCGACATGTCTTCGACAGTTACCTGTGGCGACAGCGGATTCTGTCGGCTTCAACGGTGGAGCCTGGTGAGTATTTCATGAAGTGGGTAGTTATCCGATGAGTTTCCATCGTTGTTTTGCTATAATGATTATACGCAGTCAGCTATTGTAAAACCCTCTCGAATTGCGTTTAGGCCTCTGGAGGCGACGATTACGTCGAAACGTTAGGCAGGTAATTTAATAAAGTGTTCCACCTAAAAACCTCAAATTGCAGAAAAATCTCAACATTGTAAACGACCTGCGTATATGTATTGTAGGAGCAATCAAATGCTCCACAGGTGTTCATAGTGGTTTCATGGTCAGGCGAGAAAATGTTGTCAAAAACTTTCAACTTACTGCTGTTTCAACTACATCTGCAATTAAGGGCAAAAAAATTTAAAGGGAGCATTGGCAGGCATTAATGTCTTCCATGTTTATGAGCAACACATACAGAACAAAAATGATTCTTCAGTACATTATGAGCTACTCACAATTCTCCTGGTCAGACATGTGAAAGAACTGAATAGAAGGGACATTTATGAGCAGGCCGTTTTCATGATTGTTCGCGATCACAGTGGCATTGCTTTTGAAACCTACGAGATATCAGCGCGAAGCGGTTTACTCGAGCCAATCAAATGACCTTCAATTCCGTTATCCTTAGAGCCAGAACAACATCTTGAAGTGGTCAGGCTCAGTGGTTGTTGGACAGAAAACGTGTCAGAAAGCAGATTCAATTGGAGACGATTAAAAGCCTCGTAATTAAGGTCAATGAACTCTTACCATGCAAGGAAGTTTACGGGATCCTCATTTCTCGTGAAAAGCTCAATGATTGTGTTAATATCGTCTATCCATTCTTCGGATTTTTGGTATCTTGTCCATGTCCTGAAAAACTTGTTACAGTTTTTTGTGTATGATTTCGAGCAGCTGGTTCATTTGACAAGGTGATTGCTTTGTCCCAGTATGAAACTCAATAAATGCTACATATTGCGTGTGAGAAGCGCACTACTGGCAGTCGGTCTTGCAGCGGCCAATGCTGCTCAATCGTTCTCACTGCCGCCGAACCCTGCTTTAACTGTACAGTGTGAAATTGTATATACATATAAACGGACACCGAGTTGCATAATCAGCAACCACAATTAACCCTTTGACGACAGCGCGGCTCAACGGTGAGCCACGGTTTTTTGGTCGCGTGGGACAGCGCGGCTCAACGGTGGACCGCACCCTTCTCATCGGTTGTTTTTCTCGATTACTAAATTTGCTTGGAGTATTTTGTATTTAGTGGGTTTGCAATCACCAAATAACACTATACACAAAGTGGGCTAAGAAAAGCATTGCTAATTTCTGAAAACTACTAATAAGTTCAATTCTCTCCTTAAAAATCACTTTTTTTGTGCATTTTTCGAAAACAGTCAATG